AGCTACACTCGCCATTGCGGTAAGAAGGTAGTTAAAATAGTTCTTAAATTCACAGTAAGGAGCAGTTCGTCGCGTTTACAACTCAGCGTTAAAGCGCTGAACCAACGTCACTTTGGTTTCAAGACGCAAATATTAAGCGCTGTACTCGCTTGATGGTAACCCAGTGATGTTTTATAATGTTCGCGGCCAAAAGGTCCTAAGCGCCGTGCAAACCGCGGCGCTTACGCGTTATCTTCAACGGCAGAGTTTTTGCACGTTACACTTTCTATAATGGTTTTTTATTTTGAAATTATCCATATTCACTCATTATTTAAGGGACAATATTATTTGATCCTCTAAAAACTAATTGATCTTTTTTTGATGTGCACTTTTAAAAATAAATGATGTATTTTATTATATTTTATCTTTATATTAATTATTGGGTCTATATTAGTTGATCTACGGATAAATTATGAATGATCTTCATTTAAGGTAACATAATATTTATGTTTAAAATACTCTTTTAATATTTGGTAAACAAAAATAATATTTGATCCTCTTTTTTAATAATTGATCTTTAATTTTGTTAATTTGATGATTTTTATACCAAGTTTGCCTTTTAATATTGATCACCTAATAAATACATTTCGATCTATGTATAACTAAACTTTAAAATATATTTGATCTAACTAAAACTATTATTGGTTAATATTTTTAATTAAAAAAAATCTTAATTTACGCGGTACTTTGTGGTTGAGTGACAATCGTCCGTCATTGGTTACTGAGTTGGCCAAGGGCTTAGCGGCCAATAAGCAAGCACAATACATTGCCATGTTTGTTTAAATTACAAGCTTTGCTTAGTTTGGGACTAGAGGCGCTATGTAAAATAATTTCTTACTTCTGTCATCCCTGATCCCGACATCATAATTTTTATCTCTTTATTTTTTTTCAAATCGCAAGGTTGATTTTTTCTTAGTATACCGATCTCGACCGTGATCAGTGACCATAAAGTCATCTGGCAACGGGTCGATTGGACACGATAAAAGCACTAAACGATATTTGTTTAATTTTAGTGCGACATCGGGTCGTAAGGACCTGATAAGTTTTTTTTTTTCAAATATTTACTGTGTTTGACGAAACAATTGCAAAACAATATGTATCTTTCGTACTACTGAAAAGACCGAATATATCCATCCCGCACCAACGCATCCAGCACCTAGGGTCAATTCGACCCGATAACGCAGTGTGAACGTGTTAAGTACCTATGCTTTTTTAATAAAAAATAAATCTTTGATAATCAAGTGCCTTTAAATAGTTTCCATCCTTTGACTACAACTTAATAAAAATAAGTACCATAACATAATTATATTGAAGATAATTTGATATAGACAAAAAATAATTTATACAAATCGAATTATTTAAAAAAGTATCACAATATTGAATATTTGGTGCTCATTTCTTTTATTTTTGAGGACCAACAAGTAACGATCAGATATAATTTTTACATCTCAATATTTTTTGCGTAGTTCAAAAGAGATTAAAATATCGATCGATTTCATTTATTTTGTGTCTCAAAGAAAGAGGATCAATCATTAAAATAGATGACCATTTAGATTTTTTTATTTGCCGTTTTTGCTAATTTAAAAAGATCATTTAAATACATGCCATTATTTAATTACGATAACTGTATATCACTCTATTCACTGATCGATACTGCACAAGATTTGATAGGTTTTATCCCGAAATAACTAAAGATTCCGCTTCATTTAGGATAAAAATGAGGAGCGGTTCACCGATAGATGTTTACGTTTCGGCGGTCAGCACCAGTTTTTTAAATTAAAAACACCAAATTTAAAAATTTGGGATTGTTTCACGACGTCCACTGCTGAACATAGGCTTGTTTAATAAGCTTAATTGTTTCTAATTGACCTCAAAAGCCCAGACTGTANGATTTGTGCTAAATTTACAACAATCATGTTAATTAATACTTATGAAATAGTAAGTTGAATAATGTATCTTTTATTATATACCATGGACATTAGCAAAAACAAAAGAAAACTATGTGTAAAATGGGATTGAAAAAAACTGGTCCAAATTAGCGGACTCTCCCTTAATTGTCGACAACTTCGAGTGTAGTGTCTCCAACCTTCAGAGGAGTGGGTTTGTCTTGTCCATGTTCATTTTAAGACCCACTTGTTGAGAGGCTCTTCTAAGGCCATCGAGCATTGTACTTAGATCCTCCACGGTCTCAGCCATGATTACGATATCGTCCGCGAATCGAAGGTGGGTGATATACTCGTTGTTGATATTTATGCCGAATCCGCTCCAGTCCAGTATAATTTTCAACCGACTTCAAAAAAGGAGGAGGTTCTCAATTCGACCCGCATGTTTTTTTTTCTATGTTTGTTACGCGATAACTCCGCCAATTATGAACCGATTTGAACAAATCTTTTTTCGGCGTATAGGTAATACCTCAAGGGTGGTCCCATTTAAATTTAATAATAAAAAAACAACCCCCAAGGGTGGAAAATTGGGGATAAACTTTTTTATACGCAATATCTCCGCCGATTATGAACCAATTTTTTTTGGTCTCAGTATACTGCCTACCTTCAGTGGTAACATCAAGGTAATAATTAGTTAACTAAAAAGCAAGAAATAAGTAAAATTTTATTAAAAAAAATAAAACCGACTCCAAAAAACCTACACTAAAACGTAGAAAAATAATTACTAATTACCTACTTATTTATTAGGACGGATTATTAATATTTATGTACTTAGGTATACCACGATTGATACTTTTGGAGTCGGTGCAGGCAAACTTTACATGTTTCATAATCTTGGCACCGACTCCAGAAGTATCAATCATGGTATACCTACATAAATATTAATAATTCGTCCTAATAAATAAGTAGGTAATTAGTAATTATTTCCCCAAAAGCACACCGTAACTGAAAGTTAAAAATACCTAGTAACTCAAAAATGATTGGACACGACAATCCGGATTACCGTGTCCGACAAATTGTATTGTAATCAATACGAGTACTTTGAAGAGTAATCCAAATGAATTTAAAACATTGTTGCTAACTGCGCCAACGTAAAATCGAACACAATCCTGACCGTTTCCACGAACCTTCGTGGAAAAGCATAAAACGATTTTCGGTACATTTGCTTCATTTTTCAATCAACGAAATACAAAGCCATTCAATTGAAACAGCATGGGTTAGGGCTAAAAGGTTTATATGTAGCTAGCTTCTGCTAGCAGCTTCGTTTGTGTGGTTTCAACTAATAACATTTTTCGTCACCTTCTTACCAAAATTAATTATGAATAATGTGTAGGTACAGAGAAAGGGATAGAGAATTTTTTACGACGATTTCAAAAGACATGAGATTTTTAGCTCAAGTGTGCTTATTTTCGACTTATACTAAGTATGTAGAGTAAGGCTTGAGTAATCTCAAATTAATACGGTGTCCTGAATTCGGAAGCAAAAATAGACTTAAATGCATTTTTTAGTACTTAGAGAGCATTCTCAAGCTTCGAATCTCAATTCAGTAACTTGCTGTATCTCTACTACTTGAGCATGAGCCTCTTGTTAGGGTCCTAACGAATATTAGTATAAATAAAATAGTGGACTGTATAAAAAATAGGTGCTGTAATTCTCGCCAGCCTAATTACAGAAAATTATCTAAGACTACGCGGTAATCGTGCGTCGACGGTGGTGTCCAAAGGCGAGTGTGTCACCCGAGCGCAGCCGATGATGACGCTGTCGGCCCGAGGTGACGTTAGTCATAGTACGCCGCCCGCACGTCTCCTCCCGTGCGTTGTTGGGTTCCCAACACTCTAATTTACCTACAGCAGATTAAGGATTTAGCCTACACTCCCCAAGTCCCAACGCTAGCCGGAGAGGCCTCTGGCCCTGTGGGCTGAGTGTGAGTTTACATAAAACATCCTAACTAGTGAGTGTGTTAAAAAATGTATGAAAATTTTAGTCCTTGAACGTTTCCGCTAGGGGCGCTGTACAATCCGTCATACATTTAATGTAATTTTTTTACGCACGCATTTGATGTAAACTCACACTAGGCTCTCTGATGTTCGCGTATTATTTGTCCCTAACATTTACGACATCTACAGGAAAAGTGGTCTTAGTGGCCAGTTATTTATTACTCTTTGATTACTATGAGTCTTGAACAGACGACAGCACATCAAGCTATATGCCGTGGCATTTTATTTCGTTGTAATAGAAGCTATTTTGTAATAAAAATGTAGAGTCTATGTGCTCTCGATTGTACATTGAATGACATTGGCCAGCTAATTCGTGTTATTCAATCAATATCGTATTCAACCAGTCACTATAGTACAAGATTACTACGTGCAGGCATAATTATGCAATCATCGGGTAATTATACTGTACATTGACGTATCACATACGAGATGGCACTATAGAAGATTGCAGTCTGTAATGATGTGCATTCATATCTCAGTACAAATAATATTTTATAAAAGTCTTTATTCCTGAGGCTTTAATCGACAATACAGCACGTACATTATTAATAAAGTTTGCGTTTGTTAGTCTGTCGTCTGCGTTGCATTGAGGAAAATCGACCTTTATTTAGTTTCGAAGTCATCCTATTTTGTTTTGATTAATTTCGTCGGTACAAGTTCGACTTTCAGTTGCCTTTCTTACTCGTATTGGCATCAGTCAGAAAAACAAAGAATTTCTTCATAAAATAATAATATTTGTAGAATACTTGAGTATTCCAATATAATATTGCACATGTCTATCGAAATGTTTCGACTTTATCAATGGCTGTGATATGAGTCTCGCATTTTAACAAAGTTAGTTTATAGTCTCGTTTAGATAATAAACCAAGTTAAAATAGTTTTAATAATAAAACAAATACCCAGTGAATCAAAAGTTTTTAAGTTTTTAAAAAACTATCCTTGTGTGTAGAGACCACCCGTTTGCCATTTTTAACAAGTGTTGTTATTTTTTTAACGTTTATTTTTTATTGTTTCAGATAACAGCAATGCAACCTCAGTGATGTCACCCCACCATGCCACCAGAGGTGACGTAGCACCGCTTCCATGGAATGACTCTCCAGGACCTGGATATGAATTTCACTTACCTGTACCCGAGCATCCAGGACTTACACTGCCAGTTAGAACCGGGAGCATCCTGCACCAACGCCACTTCCTTAGGCCTTGACTGCTCCGAAGACAGGTCCTTCGACTTCACCTGCGATTTAAACCTCGATATTCAGAATGAGACGGTCTACAGCTGCCATTCTTGCATCAATGATACAGTGGGCTTTACTAACGGTTCTCTATGCAACACTGGATTTCAGTTGAACCTCGTCACCGCCATCTTCGAAAGTGCGTTCAAAACTCTCTGGATGAAACTCCCTAACACTGATTTCTGCGAGTGGGACTCCCTTTTCTGCTACAGTAAAGGCTTCAATCGAACGTTATACGTCAAAGACGGTTCAGTGAACAGTATAGAAGGATATCAGTGCACGTGGAACTTTAGGAACGGGTCAAGTGACGTCATAGGACCCAAGAATTACGACTGGAGTTTTTTATTTGTGATATTATTTATAATAGCGGGTGGGGTGGGGAATATACTTGTGTGTTTGGCGGTGTGCTTGGACAAGAGACTGCAGAACGTGACGAACTATTTCCTGCTGTCGTTGGCGATAGCTGATTTGCTAGTCAGTTTGTTTGTAATGCCAATGGGGGCGATACCCGGATTCCTTGGTAAGATTGAGCTATTTCTGACTTTGTATTGCGAATGTTTACTGTATGTAGAATTTAGATAGGCAGAGCTCGGTGTTTTATGGCGTGGAATTTACGACGCAGCATGAGTTGCGTGTAGCCGAAATCTTTTTTCACAATGTAAGCGTACTTTTTTCACAATGTACGTGTACTTCATAGCAAGCTTAGTTTCATGAATCATAAATCTAGAGGAAGTAAATTTTGAATGAGATTCGCAAGTGTTATGTGGTAAAAGGATTTTTATGATAGTGTACTTAGGTACCTACCTACATTTAGATGGACCGCCTACTTAGAACGTGGGAGGTTACATTTCCTTTATAGGTATGAACTACGAATAGAATAGAATAGAATAGAATATAATAGAATAGTAGAAAACTTTTTATTTGCAAGAAAGGTATACAAGCAGGCAAGACATACATAGATTAAAACAGAGAGAAATAAACAAATTAACTGCGTGATAGGTGATAGGTATGAACTATGTCTATGTTTTTTCCGCTACAGCTAGATAAATGAAAATGTTTGCTATCCCTTGGCTATTTCTTCCTAAATCTATCATTTTACCTGGTATTGAATAAATATTGAATAGATAACAACCCTTATGCCGCTCCCTACAGCACTCTAAATAATTTCAATAATAAATTACTAATCCATCACTTACCTAAATTAGTAGTCTATGAACTGAAATTTTTCACTTAGTAAAATTTTAGTATTTTAAAAGTTAATAGTAAAGATAAAATCTTCACAACACAATTTTCAAAGTAATAGAAAGGCACTTCGATGAACAAAATTAAATGTAATTTTACATTGATATATTAAATTAGACATTGAAATTGAAATACGAAAGAAGGACAATTGAATTAACGAAAATCCTATACATTGAGTATCGTAAAAGGTTTTCGAAGGCAACCCTATATTTTTTCGCATTGCTAATTTATATGGGCCAAACGTGTTTGGAGCTTTCTTTAAAAGCTTAAAAAGGTTTAAAAGGCTTTGTCACATGTGTTTGGGGTAAATAACAATACAGAGTGTTCTATAAAATGCAATTATGTAGCTCCGATTGTAAAATACGGTGTTTATAGCATGTTAAATGTTATATACGCAGTTTTAAGGAGTGGGGTAGAAGTACCGTATGTGGTCACTGTACTTACCTTTTTTGCACACTGAAGGTTTCAAAAACACTGTATTATTAAAAATAATGTTCATAAACCAGACTAAAGATTATATTATTTTGTTATTTTTAATTTAATTACACAGGTTTATTATAACAATAAAAAATACATTAAATCAACCTACTTGATAATTTTTAGTAACTACAAAAATCATATTGCCTAAGGTGGGAATCGAACCCACGACTTTTTGCTTGCCAGGTGACTGCTCTGACCTCTACAGCTCTTAAATGCTAAACATTTTTAATAACTAATTTTGAGTGGACAAAAATGGCGCATAAATGGCCACAGCGGTACTTCTACCTTACTCTGTTTTCATATACGAGGTGTAGACGTTCATTAAAAACATATTTTTCAGTGTAGGTAGAAGATGTCGGATACTATCTACATGAAAAATGTAAATCCGTCTTGACGAAGGTCATGAGAAATTCCTGGCAATGGCACCCATTGAAGCCACGTGTAACGCTATCGCTCCCTCTGCAAACGTACACTTACGAGCATAAAAATGTACACGTGCACTTTATAATTTATTCCGCTCAGATAAGGTTTAATTTCCAATTAACATGTGTATATTTTTTGCATGTGGCTTTAAAGAATGTGAAACAGTTGGGCAGTTGACACCGCTAATTAATATTATAAAACACAATCGAAAAGAGCACGAATTCTTAACCTTTAATGCACGAGATAGAGTGGCAGATGTTGAATATTTTAGCTTCCTATCTGGCCGGTGGTTCGAACCCCGTCGTCCGACGTTGTCCGCTGCACTATTGTGGTGAACCACAATACTACCATCCTAACAAAGCCATACAGGGTGTCAGCCATACAGGGTGTCAGCCATACAGGGTTTCCCAAAAACACGTCACATTGACACCAAAAGTGGTTGAGCCTATGACATATCGAACAAGTCTGTTAAGTCCATTTTTAAAATAACTAATATCTGTCAAATTTAAAAAGTCATCAAACTTTTCTATGGACATTGATAACTGAAATTGGTCATAAAATATCTAAAAATTTGTGAAACTTTTCTCCTATGGACAGTGGACAATGGACATATTAGGCTTAAATTGTTCGATGCATCTTAAGCCCAGCTACCTTTAGTGACAGTGTGACGTACTAATTCTGGGACATCCTATATATTAGCTGGAGAAAGTAACAGGACTATTAGGCTGAGTTGCACCACCTAACTTTAACAATAACTTTAACGATAACCGTTGTCTTTTGTATGGAGTTTGATAGATTTTTGACGTTTGTTAAAGTAAAGTTAAATTAAAGATGGTGCAACCCAGCCTTAGGCCCGGTTTTTTGATTCGTAGTTAAAATAACCAATGGTCAAATTTGACAGATGTCAAATGACAAGTAGTTAAATATTAGAAGAAAATGTTTTTCGAACAATGGTTAGCTTGACTTTTAGTACATTTTTTAACTATTAGTTAACATTTTGTTAATATTTAACCATTAGTAGCAAAATTTAACAATTTGTTATTTTAACTATGAATCAAAAAACTGGGCCTTAGTAATTTGTGCAACACAAATACTTATTCCATAAAAGAAAAAGATAAAAACTATATGGCGTAACCCTTAGTTCCGATAGCGACAAGTTTGCGTTACGTTTCCACGGCACCCCTTTCACGGCAGAAACGGCCCGTAAATTTTCTTTTATCGTTTGTTACTGTAACCTGGCTTTATGTTTCTGAATTTTGCTTTATTCCTTACAAAAGGGCGCCATTAATGTTATAAGATTTGTAAAGGTACCTATTCGTGAATGCGATGTAAGAAAAATACTCTTTAACCCTTCATAGTGCATAGCATATTGAAAATATCATTTTCGACCTTAAGTTAATTGAATAAGGTTCTTTAGGTGGTTATAATAGTACCTATCTATTATGTAACCAGTGCCCTATAAAATTTAGGGGTAAAACAATTTTTAGCCTGAGTTTTTTGTATGGAGTTTGACAGATGTTTGACGTTTTGTTAAAGATAAAGTAAAATGGGGCAACCTAGCCTAAGGCGGTTATCACACTGCACCGCGCTCCGACAGATTTAATCATTGTATGCAAATACCTCAGTTTCTATAGAAAACACGCGCGGCACTTCACACTGACAACGCATCCGCGCGCGTGATTTTTTATATGAAAATCACGCGCTCCGCGGCGAAGCGCGGCGCAGTGTGATAACCGCCTTATAGTTGTTGTTTTTGGATCGAAAGAAATAAGGTTGATAAAAATAAACATCCATATTTTAAGAAAGTTGCGTATCATTGATTCGATCATTATCAATTTCTTATGATAATGTCATTGGTATTTCATACACAAACTATAAATTATTTATGAAACACTAAACTAGTAATAATTGTGTTGATCCGTCACTGTAATAGCATAATGAATTAATGATTTCTTCCCCAACTTTGAAAGATCGCACAGCTATCCTGTTTTCCCCTCCGAATGGGGAAATAAATGATACGATTTAAAAGACTGCATTTCACCTCATTTCATCGCATCAGTGAAGAATGAGCAGGTGGGATATTTTTCTAGAAAAAATATGGATTTGTTTTCATAATACTATATTATGAGTGATTCAGAAATTCATTTTGTTACAGATCTTTATTAGCCTATAAAGTTATTCTGTAAGTTATTCTGTAAGTTATTCTGTATGTATGTACAAAAACAATGCGATTGGGAGAGTGACAAACATTCTCACAAACTATTAGTAGGTTAATGATATTTTATTACAAGATATCATGCACCATCTATGCAGCTTGCGGTAGCTGATCATTTTGAAGAAGAAAACTTATGGTATTACTAACGTTCATCGAATCTCAAATCAGCGGTCTGCACAACACTGTTAGTAGGTATTTTATCGCATTGAAATAAATTCCTCAGTTGACTATAGTCATAGCTCACAGGCCAATAAATACCATTGTAAGTACTTTAATTTAACAAGCAAATATCCTGGCAGGGAAATAATGTTCTCAAGCAAACATCTTGTAAGCAAATACACTCAATCATCTGAGGTGATGACATACGCTCCATGAGTAGGCAGTTGTAAATGTAGGATCCCTCAGTTCCGTTTTTTGCTGCGTAATATGACTTAGGACTGGAATAATGTTGTCACGGTTGTATCGCAGATTTTGTTTTTCAAGGGCAGTGTTTTTCAACCTGTGGGTCGCGACCCCCTGGGGGGTCGCGAAGCCTCTATAGGGGGGTCGCGAGAGGTCGTAAAAACTACCTCAGTAAAAAAAAAACAGTAAAGTTTAATTTAAATTATCCGAATCTAATTATGCAAATTCATAAATGTTGTATAGATTGAAGAATTCGATCCCTACATCATCTTCGTAAAAGGCATGAAAACAAATAAGCTTGCCAACTGCGTAAAAATGATCAAAAAAGATAAAAACAAGACAACTTAGTGGTCACAAATGCAGTCGGAGGCATCAATGACTAATTCTTTTGTTGGTGATGTATTTGATGCCTCCGACTGCATTTGTGATCACTAAAGTAGTCTTGTTTTTGTTTTTTTAGTTCATTTTTACGCAGTTGGGTTTTTTGTTTATTCAATAATAATTTTATTTTAATCGTTTTAGTTAAATAACGTGCATTTTTGTAAATTACTCAAAAAGCCCAAAGGGGGGTCGCGTCATGAAAAAGGTTGAAAAACACTGTTCAAGGGTAATGGGTTGTTTTAACGCTTTTTATAGAGTCTGTTAAGGCGGCGATACACATGCCTGTTAAACCGAAGAGTGAGAAGCGTAACATTTGCATGTTATTTGCGTCCTTGCAATTCACACTAAGTTGCATGCGCTGTATTTCCAACTAAAAAAAAACAAATGTGCATTCTACTCGCATGACAGATTCAGTTTGATTTATATATGACAGTTAATGGTACGTGCACGTGAAATTGTACCAGTAAGCCTAGGCGCACATCACCCATTTTTCGTCGACGATAATTTAGTCGGGCAGTTAATCAGTATGGGCACATTACACCGATTGATTATTCATACAAATTAGAATGGGACCCAACTATCGGCCGACTAAAAATCGGTGGTCTGCGCCTAGGTTTAAACTTCAATATTTCGGTAATGTTTGAAATACCTGTGTAACACGACAATGCATCGTTATTCACACTTTTACTGGACAAAAAAGACCTGGGTGGGTGGATTTTTTTTCACATCGACCTGCTGACCTGATTGCAGATGTTCTAAACAACTAAAATATGGCTCTGAATCCGAAATACCGGGTTAGCTACGCACGGTACCTGCAAAAGTGCGTTCGACTTTTGACCCCGCTTTCAAACGGCAGATAAAAAGCTTTCAATTTGTAGTTGGTGTATGAATGTGAGTGTTTTAAGCTAGACTAGAACAGAAATAGTTTGTTTGGTACTAGACTAGCAATTTGTATAAAAATATACCAACCGAATTGAGAACGTCATCCTTTTGTTGAAGTCTGTTAAAAACGTAGGCAGGGTACAAGTACTGGTTTGGGCTATACATCGTTTTTGACCACTCTAAATTAATAGAACATGTCAAATATTGTGAAATTCAAAAATAATTTTTATGTTCTTTCTTTTTTATCTTCATGTTTATTTATTTATGTAATTATTTTTGAATTCCCCGTATTTTTGACACTTTCAACCATAAGTGGCCAAAAACTGGGTCTCTATGTCTTTATGAAAGCGTGCCTACAATTTCTTAACTCAGCATCAGTTGTGACAGGGTGCCACGCCATAAACGAAATAATACCTATAGTGCTAATTTATTTTCACCGGTTTTTTTTGTAACAAACGTACTGTCTCCATTCTATTTTTTTGCAACATTTCCAATGAAGCGGGCTGTTAGCCCGTAATATGAATGCGTTAAAATAATTCTTTATACTCCAGGTTACTGGCCCTTGGGTGTGGTGTGGTGCAACGTGTACGTCACGTGCGATGTGCTCGCATGTTCCGCCAGCATCATGCACATGTGCTTCATCAGCATCGGCAGGTTAGTAGATCTTGATACATACTTTACCAACTTTAAAGTTATAAAATAAAAGAAACCCATATAATATAATTATTAAAAGAGTCTAGAAAACTTATGATTGAGTGCTCTAAATTATAAACTTGTCCCTTGTTGTCCTTTTTGATCTTGAAAAAATCCTTTTTAGAAAAAATCGAATTGTCCAATCCTTTTTATCATTTTAGTCTTTATCCTGTCGCATAAAAACGTTCACTATTACTTTAGGTAACTTCCCTGTTGCATTGTGGTAACTAACAAAGTGTTTAAAAATAAAGCACCGTTTGTCAATGCTGAAATCAAAAACTTATGTAGCTTCAGCTTTCAGAAACATTATACCTCAATATCAATTTTCCGAAAGACTTCTCTTCAATAAGGCCTATTGTTCACTATCCAAAGTTAGTTATTTAACAGAAAATATCCCCGATATTCACGAGGCTGTCCCTAGCGACCCTTGTTATGGGGCAGCATGACTTCGTTATCGGGCTGCTGCGACTAAATGGGGCTAGTATTTTTGTTGGGTGCACGATAAACTTGAATTTGCGACGATAACTCTGAAACGTGATATTTTTTCGGACGGCACACTTGATGTTTGACATTCATGGGAGGTGTTTTAATCACGAATAATGCAGGAGAAAAACATGATTAGGGTATGCTTCACATTATTACTACGTGGCATGTATATGGCGCGTAGCGTGCGCCTCTCACCGGTCATACGCTACGTGATTTTGTGAATGTAGGTACAGTCATATTCAGAATATACATTTTTGCACCAAAGTAGCTCCTATTGCAATGCCATAAAGCTTCATGTGCAGCTGTCTGTACATTTAGACCCAACTTACAATCAGGCGCGGATCCAGCCCTCAAAAAAGGTTGTGGGCACAGCCACCAAAAATGAGCAAAGTGAGAGTTGGATCACTACATGCCCGGACATACATACATGCCTATCGATCTTATCAATAGATCATAATTTAAAACAAGCAAATTAGGGTTGTGGGCATGCCCACAGTGCCCACAACGGTGGATCCGCGCCTGCTTACAATCACCTTTCTAGAAAGTCTAGAAAACTGTAAATTTGGGCAAACTGACATAGCAGGGGAAAATAATTTGGTGTAAAGTTCTTGGCGCACCTGCACCATGCCCTAGCTAAGGTACAGCAGTAATTTATTGGAAATCTGTGCTGTGGTATAACGACCATACAACTGCGCAGTCTTATGGTTCAAAATGGACAGATGTCATATCTTCGTATTAGTATAATCCAAGATTCCTATCTCTGTAAAATATAATCCAAGAGTTGCTACTAAGTATCATTAAGGTACAGAATCAATGTAATTTGCATAAGCTAATAAAGACAATAGTATTCTTATGCCAAGGTTCTGTACTAAGTGGTTCTCATATTTATGAGGAATTGCATACGTAAAGGTAAAGTAAAATTAATAGTTGACAATATGGCTACTGGTTTCTGGATTTAAAAAAAAATGTGCCCACAATACAGAGTAATTTGTTCGGTTAAGTTTTTGTTACCGCAATTACTGAATGATAATTTCTTAAAACATTAAATAGCCGATTGTGAGCAAGAAGAAGTAGGCTCTATCAAAACTCAAAAGATGATTTTATGACTGATATCGTTCGGTTAGCAGTAAAAAGAAACAAACAAAACTAATTTAATTTTTGCAAGTAGGCTTTAAAAAGTACTTTTACACGTCCCAGTACTAACCCTACCACTGCTTCGGGACAATAAATGGGCCAGTGCTGAGAAGAAGCAGCCAAGTAACTTAGTTGATAAAGAGGCTGACAATAATTGTCAGCCTCTTTATCAAGGGTTTACAGTCTACAGTCACAGACTTCAGTCTTGAGAAAGCATATTCATAGTTGAGAAGGGTTTAAATATGAGCCAAAGACTTTATAACCAACCAAAAGTCACGTTGAACGAAGTTGCGGTCAGCAGATTCTTATATAAAGATAGAGTTCACAGACGGACGATTTTTTGGCGGCAGACAAAATGTCGACAGAGGAGACCGAATCAAATATAAATCATCTGCCGTTTGATGTGGTTGAATCTGAATTATTTGGGCCGCTTCCTGAAATGCGTGTTCCGTTCCATTCGAGGGTATACCAACGTTTCCTTAGAAATCTTTTGTAAAAGGAAAAAATACGAGAGTAAAAGGTTGGGCTTAAGTAAGACCTAAGAAATTATTGACATAACTAGTCTTTGCCCGCGGTCTCGTCTGTGTAGATTTATTATTGATTGTTACTTTTTAATACAATTTTTTTTCTTATGCAACAAAATTACGGTCCCTAAACTTTTTCAAATTCAAGCGTAGATAAATTAGCAAGCGTTCTCTGTTATTCCTAACTTCATAATAATTCAAATCAATTCACATTCATTTATCCATTTCCACCTACCTATTCAGTCCGCGCTAATAGAAATCGACAACCTTGCAAACCAATAAATTTTCCAAAACATCACAGTAGGTAAGGTAATCATTAACAACCATAATTAAAATCAACATCCAAGTCCATTTCTTCCACATTACTACAGTTGCCGCGAATACTCGCTATTATTCGGTATTCGGCATTACTCGACATTTTTTTGATATTCGTCGAATACCGAATAATAGCTAGTATTATTCGGCATTCGGCGAATAGTCGTCTAAAATAAACTTTTAGTGACCAAAAAAACTAATGAGTTAAAAATAATCATATTTTTATTATTTTCCCTAATAAAACAATACACAACATCAATTATTATTTGTAAATGTACCTGTGCCTATCATATTCATGAAATTAAATTAGTTAGGCTTTTTAATTAATATTTAAAATCCAACGGAGGCAGATTGTGGTGCAAAAAATCATTTTTTTCTGCACGTTCGGGAGCAAGTCTGTTTCGTTTTTCCTCGTAAATTAAACCTGCCTCGGAAAATAGTCTTTCTGAATAAACAGAGCTTGCTGGTGTGATTAAGTATCATTTAGCAAGCTTACTTAATATAGGAAATCTATTCTTATTGGTACTCAAAGTCCACCATTCACATGGGTTTATTTTCTGTCAGCCTTTGCTAATGCGATGTAGTGGGCGATTTCTTCAGCAGTGGCATTCTTGGGGTGCTCTTCAGTAGGTTGCTCGATAAATGATTCTTCAAAACATGCCCAAAATTTACTACATATATGTAGGTATGTATAACATGAAACAGATTTCTTTAACTTTATTAATTTCTTTTCTCACAACCTTAGAAGAAATTAGAAATAAATTTAATGTTTTTATGTCGAATAGTAATGTCGAGTTATTCGACTATTCGCCAAAGTGAATGGCGATTAATCGGTATTTGACTATTCGCTATAACCACTATTCGCGGCAACTCTACACATTACCCTGGTGTCAATTTTTCGCATCTAGCTGTTCTTCTGCCAGAGATTTTTCAGAAGTAACCACTTGACAATATGACGGCTATGCTTGTAGAGTCGCGGTTCCGGTTAAGAACTTGTTTACTCCAGCAGTTATCCGTACTAGTTACCAGCTATAAATCCTTGCGGGACGCCTTTGTCCAACAGGGGACATTTTTGGTTTTAACGAACTAAATTAAAATTAAGTCCTAATACGTTGTAAATATTGTTTTAGTGTATGTCTTGTTAATTGTCCTGTCAAATAATAAAATATAATAAATACATTACTTTCGTAATGCCGTATTCTACTGACGCGGTCAGATACGTCCTATCAACCGCATCGTGCGGGGCCACTAAATAAGCGATCGCGATAGCAGAGTGGGGCCATTACTCGAATCCGCTTTGTTCGTTTTAAAGAGACCTCTCCAACTGACAACGCTCTTTGGAATAAGCACCTCATTCATGCACAGTCATCAACACAACAATGTGGCTTTTGTGCTGGGAATACGTGCGATTTTGAAACAAAAATTTATGTAGTCCGATATGTCGTCGACTGTACATTCAGATACGCACGGAAATTTAGTTCTTAACCCTTTTGATTTAAATGCAAAATTAGAATACGTGTTTTGGCTGCGTGTACATTACGCGTGGAGTATTTTCATTCAAATACGGCAAATGAGTGCATTATGTTTGTACCGGGAAAGATGAAGCAACCCTCATGTTATTTGATGTTCATAATCAACAGTGAATGTAGGCGATAGCACATGGGTTTTAAAAAAAAATGTCGCAAATAAACCCTATTGTGATGTCATAGCACAGTATTTAATTTGACGTGCCAGTGATTAAACAGGGTGTTCAGGAACAAGGAATCTTTAATACTATAAAGAGGTAAAATTGGTGAGGTTGTAGAGGGTCTACTGAATCTTTGGATTTACTGAAACGATTTAAAAAAAATATTAAAAAGAAATTGATAGCCACATTATTTTGTAAGTGTCATAGGGTATACCCTTTATTATAATAACGGGAAAAAAATATATTTCTGAAACATAACGAAATTATTTACCTCTTTAAAGTATTAGTGTAGAAAAAAAGAACTTCTACTAACTGATTTTGAACCTTAGGTACCTACACTAAAAACAGACCCCAATATCAGTCAAGAAAATTCGCCGTCATAATTTTCCAGTAGATTAATGTGCCTGTGTACCTTCGTAGGTGTGTCAAGTAGGAAATGTTAGAGTCATTTAGGGTTAAATGACATAAGACCAAACGTCTGGGGTTGCATCGACCGTAACCATCGTGAGGCTTGTTAACCCTATGTAGCTATGGTATCTCGTGAAATAAGCGTTTCCACCCTAAGTTGAAGTCAAAATTGAACAGCTTAGATTTTTTTATTAAAATTTTCTTCTTGTAAACTAATTTACCCAAATCAGTTAAAAGTTTTTGGGATCTATTTTGAGCGGGTTTGAGCACTTAATTTAAATCTTTATTCATAGTAAAGATTTGATTTTTGGCTTACTTATTGATATAAAAGTTTGATGAGTATTCCAACCGTAGTTAGCCAAAATTAGTTCTATTTTATCTGTTTATTTACTCCTGGCTGTACCTAT